TCACTGGCTCTCTCAGCTGCCCAAAGCCTGGAGCAGACAACATGAGAGCCACAGACAACTGTGGCTGCTTCTTGGACTGAGGTTGGATAACCCGATTAAATGACTAAACGTGCTCATTTTTTGGTGTTTCCCAGGAACATAAAGGAAGAATATGTGACATGAGGCAAAATGGATGTTGGTAAACTACCTGTTGAAATTGATCTTAGTGGGGACTAATGTTACTTTGTGTAAATTCACCCAGATGTGTCAGAACATGCCAAAAGAAGCATATACCTTGCTGCTGGGAAATTTGTAAAGCAATTTGCATGTACAGTATGATAATAAATCATCTAAGAGCCCACCAAAACTTTGTATTCTGTGATTTGAAATGTTACCACAATTCATGAGTGACATAATGGACATTTTCTTTACATCTGAAATTCGAAGTTGAATCATTCCTTGAATGTTTTCCTATTTTCTCAGATAAAAATATACTTTGAGTTTCATAGCATTTTTAAACACTAGCAGTGATTTCATAAAAGTCATAAAATCATCAAAGTTAAAAGGGGACCTTAGAAATGACTTAATCCAACAAGCTCATTTTATTAAAGAGAAGTGACAGCTAGAGAGGTAATGACTGATCAAAGGTCACAGTTGGTGGCTAAGAAGAGAATAGATCTGGGTTGCCCATCTCCCAGCCCAGTGTTCTCCAACGCCAAAAAGTCAATTCACTGGATACAAGGTAAACACAGCAATTCATATAAAAACTGATTTTTCATTATAAAAATTTTAAAATCCAGAGAAGTAGAAAATTACCATAATAATGCTTTCCAAAGACAAGCATTGTCTTTTTCTTCTAGCATTAGTTTATTTTTTCTTACAGACTTGTAATCATATTGTAACTTTTTTGTATCTACCCATCAGTACAGCACAAGCATTTTTGTGTAATCTTCACAAACATTTATGATAGCTGCATAGTAATCCAGTATCAATTGTTTTTCTTTTCTTGGTAGCACTACATAAAGCCTTTTCTGTGTTTGGGGAAATCTATCCTAAGGAAATAATTCTCATGTGGAATTGTTGGGCCAAAAGATATTCAGTGGTCACCTCATGATGATGCTTTCAAAGCTACAGGACCTAAGGATGAGGGAAAAAACTGCATGTTCACTCTTAAGAAGCTGGCTGTTAGCAGCATGAGTTGTAAAAAGATCTGAAAGTCATTCTTGAGCTTAGCCACTCAAGCAATTAGCAAACATTTGTGTGAAATATTTGAGGGGAAGGGGATATATGACAGCGGGGCTTACCCTCAAAATTGCAGCTGGCTACTAACTACCATTAGATCCAAAATCCTCGTTTTGTTCAGAAGACATACTTATCCTAAACAATGACATCTCGATTGAGGGAATTGAGGGAAATGCTAGAGAAAAACAAAAGCCTCTCCCATCTACAAGTCCATTTTTGACTGTATAAAACATATTATTTCAACCTGGTTTTGCACAATCTCTGGACTGACTACTTCTTTTAATAGAAAATCAGGTGCCTTGTACTTAAGGGATGTCACTAAAGCAAAACCTAAGTAGGAAGGTAAAGCTCCTGAAAAAGAAGAATATCATCCAAATAATGAGTAAAAAGCCTATTTTGGTGCTTGTACACTATGCTTCCTCCATTATTTTTATCAGCAAAATACTACACCTCACTAATCACCTGTACAGCTGATAACACAAGTAGCATGGATCCACCCTCTATCTCCTGGGATGCATTTGCAGCTCACACTTTCCAGCAATTTTCTGGACCCTTTGCTCCAGAAGAATAGAAACACGGTATAATATAAACATAGGTTATTCATGTTGGATGCCATGTGATACCAACCATTAATTAACAACCTACAAAGGAAGCTCCATCACCTTGTTACCTCAATTAAGGATAGCTATATAGTGTCTGTCATGTAGAAGGAGCCCAATAAATGTTTCATGGAGTGAATGACTACTTTGCTATTTTCATTCCTATTTTGGGAGTCTACCACTTTCCTGCTGATATCTGGAGGGCCTTACACACACTTCCCAGAGCTGATCCACTGAGAGATGCTATCATTGGCTATCCAAAGAGTCATTACCAACCCTCTCTCTAAGAGGCTGGATACTCTTATGCTTGCTTTCCCAGTCACACTTACAGCTATGGTAGTCATGTGACCTAGACTACTGGAAAGAAAAGCTATTGGAGGCTTGTGGGAAAGCGTCTGCTTTCCTGATAAAAGAGACAGATGAGTGGTGCCATGCCTTCCCCTGCTTCTTCTTGACTTGAATGCACGTGGAACTTCCAGGGCTAGTCAGTCATCTTATGACTATGAGGGAAAGATGAAGAAACACTGTAGAAACACTGGCCCTGACATTCTTGAGCTGATAAACACTAACAATTACCCCATCCAGATTTTTTATTAAATGAGGAAAATAACTCCCTATTTGTTTAAACAACTTAATAGTCATATTTTCTATTGCATACTGCCCACAGTATCCATAATTGCTTTCTTATAACATAGATCAAGCGTTTCTTTCTAATCACTTACAGCTTTTTTCAACTCCAAATGAAATTATCACAATTCCTAATCAAATTATCACAATTATTTAAACACATGTACAATAAACCCTGTCTATACATTACTGTAATAAAGGGAGAATACATTCATCATCATCCTGGCTATGTAATAGCAAATCAAGATTCAGCAGTATTGTGTCTAATATATGAGACATTGGCAGGAGATTAGCATGTGTGTTACTAATCTTTAAGATTTTTCCAGTTTATATTTTTCTTTTTTTTTCCTTCTTTTTTTCTATTTTTCTTTTGTAAGAATTCAGGAAGTTAAATTACATACTTTAAGTTCAGATATATGAAACTTTTTGTCAGTACTTAACGTTAAAGCAACTTACACAGATAGCATCAATGATCAATTATAAGAGTGTCTAGAAATTTTATTCTGATATATTTCATAGCAATTTAAAAATAAATATTTTATTTACATTAACGCATGCTTTTAGTTAAATAAAGGTTTTAGTTTTACATATTGGCTCATAAAAGAATTATAAACTTCTTAAAAAATAAAATCTATATATAGTATAGCTTTTATTGAATTGCAAGAGATGAATTTTTATTTAACTATACATGTAAAATCTTTGGAAACAGCAAAATAATGAGAAAATTATCAATCCAATTTCCTGTGCTTTAGGATTAATCTAATGTTACTTCTATGCTCAGATCTCTCCATCTCCTACTTCTAGAAGTTGAATAAGAAAGGTATGGGAGAAATAACAGACAAATAATGATACGACACAGGTTCTAATATAAACCTGGTCAAGTCCCTTAACTTCTCTGGGTTCTGTTAATTTATCCATATGGTTAAAAAGAATTAAAAGAAACTGGATTTTAACAACTGATTCTGAGGATTCTAGTGAGCTCTTGAGTAAACAGGTAAAGCTTCTATCTACATCAAAGGGAATTCCTCATACCTAAAAGCTTCATAGATGATTGAGGACTTAAATTGTGCCATATTTTCCTATCTTCTCTAGAGGCAACCTCAATTACAGACTTTTTAACTTGAGATGTTAATTCAATTCACCCTGAGTGTTGATAAAATATCCTTCAGTTAGGAAAGAAAGAGGGAGGAAGGAGAGAAAAAAAGAAAACTTTTTTACTGGGAGATAGTTTTACACATATTTCAAATATATCCAACCTCAAGGAACAGTGAAATGAAAAGATTTTTAACATTTACAATCTCTTGCCAATACTCTAGTAGTTTACATTATACATAACTGCAGAACACTAAATTCTTATAATTATTTTTGCTGAGTAATGTGTTAAACTTCAAAGGTTAATCAAGAGTTATCAATACGAACTAATATTTCATGCAAAAGTTTCACTTATGATAAATTATTTTTTCCTGTATGAAACTAATTTCCTTAAAAAAATAGGTACCATGTACCGAAAACAGTACTATGCCAAGTATTTCCTGCATACAAATGTTTCTAATACAAACTAGCTATAAGCTAGAGAAAATAATCAACCACATAACAACAAGGCAGATTATATTCTTTCATTTCATTAACTGCTCTGTGAAAAGTTAATTATCTTTAAAGAAAAATATTTTTTCGTTGTAATTTTTATTTTATTGATAACTTCTAAATGATTTATTTCTAATGTTCAGACGTCTCCATTTAGCAAGCACTTAAGGCTCTGGAGATCAGAAAAGATTTTGTATTTAAGAGAGTAATTCCATGAAATCCTCTACTTCATATTACAGAAAGACAAATTAATACATATACTATAGAACTGTGCTATTCAATACAGGCCACTGGCCTCATGTGGATTATGAGCACTTAAAATGTGACTAATCCAAATTAGTAAAATATACACCAGATTTCAAAGAATTAGTACAAAAGAAGAATGTAAGCTATTTTGATGATTTTTTACATTGATTACATGTTGAAATGATAATATTTTGGATCTACTGGGTTAAATAAGCTATACTATTAAAATTAACTTGAGCTGTTTCTTTTTATTTTTTAATGTGGCTGCTAGAAAATTTAAAATTGTGTATTTGGCTCATATTATTTTTCTATTCTACAGCATTGCTATAGAAACAGCAGGCTCAATTAATGTTAATATTAATCCCAAACCACATTCTTAAATTTTTGTATAATTATGCCATTTGAGATAACATATTTAATACATTACCACAAGGTTCCTGAGCTTAGAATCAAATATACCTCTACTCTTAAAAACAAAACCAACCAAAATCTACTCTAGTCTTTTTCATCATCTTCTGTATTCCCGCAACTGTGCTAAACTTTGGGTAGATATGAGTCTGCAAATAGGCAAGAGGACCTTTTGGGGGATGGAAATGTTCTAAAACCGGATTGTGGTGATGGCGGCACAACTATAAATGTATTCAAAAATCACTGGATTGTATACTCACAACCAGTAAATTATATAGAATGTAAATTATACCCAATAAAGCTGTTTATTTTTTAAGTACGCAGCTACAGCCCAGCAGATCTCAAGTTTCATCTAGAAGCTGCATATAAACTTCAAGTAATTCAAATATAATTTTTCAATCCATCATCTGACAATATTGCAATGAAAATTTTTCCATGAGGGTCCTTTTACCTATAGTGGGTCCACATTTCAACAGTGGATTATGTAGTCACTAACTGGAGGTATAAGTTGAAAAGGACAAAGGGAACATTAGAGTAGCTGAGAGTGGACAGCTTATTTGCCTTCAGGGGCACCCAGCTCAGGCAATAATAGCCCTTGTAGTAGTGTACAACCTTGTCGCAAATCCCTTACCCAATCTGGGCACCCTGTAACTGGACATCTGCTGGTATTTTGCCATCCTAGACAGAATACTGAAATATAAAAAACCTCCTACTCTACACTAATAAAACCAAAGTAGAAGAAAACAGACGAAGTCAAAATTAACATTTAACAATTTCCATGGGTAGCAAAGCTAAATTGCTGAGTGTTCTTTCCCTATTGCAAGAGGAAAAAACGTAGCAGAGAAATCCAGCAACTCACAAGTTACGGTCAGTTTAGAAAAGGATATTGGTGATTAATAAATTTCAAGTTAAGAATATAGGATCGTTTGTGTATTGCTTCTGTCAGATCTTGAAACATCATTTTCAATCTAAAAACTGTGAGATTATTTGCCACGGATATTGTAAATGCGCTGCCACCTTGTGTTTTTTTGAACCTCATCATCTCCAAGAGCAAAAAAATAAAAATAAAAACAAAAACCAGTGCTACTTTTTCCACTTTATCAAAATGGGTCTGAAGAACAAGGACTTATGCTTCTTTACCCTCAGGAAAACACAGTAAAGTAAAATACGGATCAAACCTTCATGCACTTGTGCTTTTTTGTGGCCTATCTAGCACGTAAGTATTTCCAGTGCTCACTTTACCCCATATTAACCAAACAAAAAAAAAAGAAAAAAAAAAAAGAAATGAAACAATGGAAACAGTAATAGTAACACATAAAGAACTCACACTGAACACTGAAATAGATTTCAAGATGTGTGCATTCACACAAACATAAATACATTTGCACGGATACACGGAGTTGCCTCAAGTCTTCTTATTTTAGAAGTAATCTAGGTGGACAGTTCAAAAGCCAAAAAATTATTTGGAATGTTAAAATCATTTCAGAATGTTCATTTAAGGCAGCCACAGAATCAAGAGATCTATTATAGTCCATTCTAGTTATAAAATGACTCATCTGGGCATTTGGATAAATTAATGAACGCATTTGTTATAGTTCCAGACTGAAGTTACATCCCAATTGTGAACGTTTATGATGTAGTTAGTAATACTTTATGAGGTGGGTGATACTTTTAAAACTGAAACACATACAGAACATTCATTGAATTTGACTTTCTAGAGAAATGATTCTCTACTGGTGAATACAGGATACCACCAGCCATTTCATACAAGCTAGACTACTGCCCAATCAATGTGGTGTCCTCAGCACATATCTGGTAGTTTTTTGAACTGTCTTATTCATGCACAAATGCTTTTTAAGACTCCTAAAATAAGTTCACATAAAGATACAAATATATTTTTAAAGATATCCACAAAATATTATTATCTAGGTATCAAAACTGAATTGCATTTGAATTGTACCTATAGTTACTATGATATCTATTCTTTTCTTATTTCTGATCTTTTCAATACCTAAAGTGGTGCAAGTCAATTGACAATGAAGTTCATCTTTATAAAATATAGAGAGGAGCTTTTCTCTTTAGTCCGAGATATTGGCAAACTCAGAGAGCATATGAAAAGTAAAGCACTAATATTTAACTTCCAAAAAAATTAAAACTTTCACAAAATGTTCATAAAGCTCTAAAATAGACTATTTTAACCTAACAGCATGAAGCTTGTGCTTTCTCTAATTTCTAAGCAGCCAAAATATTTATCCTCAGGCACTATTCAAGCCCTTAAGGTTTGGGTCAAAGAACTGTTTCTACTTCTGGTGGATTTCTGTCATATTCTCCATTCCTAGACACATTTCCATACCAAACAATGTGCAAATAACTGTTTAAGAAAATTGAAATGCCCTCTCTTAGACAGCTATCTACTTTAGGAATAAAATAAACCAAAAACATCTCAAATTTTTCTACAGGCTACACAGAAGAGAAGAAAGGATGATTTTTACAGGCCATGCAGCTGAGAGAAAGGGTTGATTCAGGGAACCATAGTACTGCAAGTTTAAACATATTATGCCTTTCGTAAGACTTTTCGTAGGTCACCATAGAAGTTGATTAAAGTGCTTGCCATGGCTGTATCTACTGCAGACTGAGGGATCATCCCGCGCAGATCTGTCTGAATATAGCCTGTCAAAAGACTCTGGTTTGGAGTGTCTTTAAGTGGAACACAAAACCAACCACAGGGATGGTTATATCCGCGAACAAATTCTGGTCTCTTTTCACTCCAGTCAAGACTTATCCCTACAAGGCAATTTTAAAACAACACTATTAACAGCAATGACTGACATTAGTCTAAAACTCTCATTAAAAATATTATCAAATTTCTCGTTTAAATATTTTTTCTTCTTATTCATGTAGATGAAAATTAAGCCCCAAAAGTGACCATGGAAGAATGAAAAAGATAATTACCATGTAGAATGCTGACAGGAGGCTGGTAGATAGGTAATGGGGAAAGTTCTAATCTCTTCAGAATAGATGACATCATGTCATCTCGGTAACTCCTTGGAAACTACAAATCTTGGCATCAGGCCTCAAGGTGCCGGTAATCAAACCTATGGTACCACTACTACTCCCCATAGTCACTACCACATCCAATTTGGTACTGGCTGGTTAAGAATAAACAAGTAGATATTTACCTACAACTGCCAACACCAGTATATACTATACATAAAAAAATAATAATTTACCTATTGATATATTTTAGAAAGCAGGAACCTTCTAATAACAGTATTTTTCATTTTGAAAAGAAAAACATTACACAGATCAAGGAAGGAAAGATACTCTAACACATAGCAAGTCTATTTTTTCAATGTGGGTGACTAAGAGGCTGTTTTCCGAGAAGGACTAAAAAGGAAATCCATTTACTGGATCCCTTTCTTAGAGGCAGTCACATGATCCATACTTGTTAGCTATGATCTGGAGGATACCACGTAACTTGGAATAAAAAAACTTATCAGAAAGATTTAAAAATCCTTCTTGATATTGTTATTTTAATTCCCAGGGTTTAGCATTTGCAAACAAAGCTTAGTGATTATAAAATAAGTATTAAGTTTGAAAATATATCTTGCATAGAAAGAGATATCCATCCTAGAAAATATTTAAAACAAACTGAAAGTATAAGGTTTTGAGATCATTACCACAGGATAAAAGCCCTTCTTTATAGCCCACAGTGTAGGAGAAATCAACAAACTCTCTTGGGGAAATTATATTCCAAAGCTGACCAGCAGTGGTATAACGCATCACACAGCAATTCTGAAAGAGAACAAGTAACAGGTGTTACTACCATAAGAAATCATAAACAGACTCATATATCATAAGTTAATCTTTAGTAAAAAACCAACACTCATTTAAAATGTTTTATAATTATTCTTAATAACATTTTTTACAGTGATTCTGATAGGTTCAGATCTCTATTCTAAATCTCACTGCTACTGTATGGACATGAAGAAGATATATAATCAATATACATACAGAGAGGTAAGTTACCTGGTATTCAAATCTCTAATTCAATACAGACACCTTGTATCCTACATGATATTCAACATGCTAGTATGTTGTGTATACTGTAGGTGTTTAAGATAAAATCCACAAATATTTTGACTAAAACATCAAATGTTTCAATAAAGAAATTCAACATAGCAAGAAATGAATTAACAGAAAAAGAGAGGAAGCCGCTTTAGTTATGTAATTCTCTAATGCCTAAGGTGGCATTTTTATCTTTGGTCTTTGATTTTGGCTTAATTTTAATGGAAAACCTACACACAATTACCTAGAAACCTGAATATGATGGTGGTATTTTCAGAATTTTAGATTTCAGAACCTCAGCTAAATTTTTACAATTAAAGACTCTGACGATTTTCTTAAGCATCAAGGGTTAGAGCTACTGTGGAAAACAAACTCAGTTCTAGAACTCATTAGCTAATATGCAGAAACTCAAGCTTTTTAAAAGGCAAAAAGGATTCCCCCGTGAGATCTTTGCCATGACTACTTATTCTCAAAGCAATGAATACAATGAACACAAGTGTGTACACACGCTCACGCTCACATGCTCGCTCGCACACTCTCTCTCTCTCTCCCACAAACACACACACACAATTGGAAATAATGTTTCTAAACGAATACCTCTTCAAAATGCTCCAAAACATCCAATGAAGTCATTAAGCTGTCCCAATCCAAGCGACAGGGACCTGGGCGTATATTGTCTATTACACTATTGACAATGTCATCTATAACACCTTGGGCTTTGAAGCTGGAGAAAAAATATTAAAGTCAAATGCTATTAGAATGAACAATTTCACTCCACGTGGTTCAGAGCTAACTTCAAAAAGAGTAAAAGTTACTGAAGATTTTTTAAAGGGAGTAAATCACAACAACTTTTCTGATAAACTAAATTCTATCAACTATTTTTATCAGAATGTACTGTTTGTCCTCAAATCTAGTAAGAGGTCTGAAGGCTATATTATGCATTATCATGAACGTAGTCAAGTCCCTTCCTGTTATGGTGTAGCCGAAAGCAGTCTACAGATGACTGCAATGCTCCCATTCAGGTTGTATGCTACTCTCTTCTCAGTTATGCTCTAAAATGTTATTAGTATATGCATATTTTTACCCTGACTTTTAAAAACTTTTTATTAGGAACAGAAAAATAGGTCACCCAGCAATAGAACGCCCAGGATTGTCTCATGAATAATATCAGTACTTGACATATTTCAAAGATGGCATTACACATCAGTGGGGAAAGGGTGTACTATTCCATAAATGGTGCTTGGATTCAAGAGTTATCCTAATGGAGAAAATAAAAACTGAATCTCTACTTTACACCATTCAAAATAACAAATTACAGATAGACTAAAGACCGCTATGTAAAATGTAAAACTTTAAAACTTTGAGAAAAATATATGTGACCAACTTTGTGAACTCAGGATACAGGGGGATTTCTTGAATACATAAAACACACAAGAATACAAATAATACAAGATAGTTAAAATTAAAAACTTGCATACCACAAATGACAAAATAAAAACTAACCACAGACTGGAAGAAGATATGTGCAATGCATGTAAACAGACATATAATTATTATAGAGGATATATAATTAATTCCTATAAACCAATGAGAAAAAGACAGATAATCCAAAGAAAAGATGGGCAAAGGACATGTGAAGATTGACCTGAAATGTCAATAAATTTAGAAAAGATGCTCAACTTCACTCATAATCAAGTAAATACTAATAAGATACTATCTCATACCCCTGAGATTGGCAAGTATTCAATAACAAGTATTGAATGGAAAGGAGTGAGAATTCTCAGACTGCTACCACCACTTTAGAGAGTAGTTTGCAATGTCTAGTAAAGTTGGATGATGTATATCCCCAAGACCCAGGTACATACTCAAAGAAAATCACACGTGTGTAGAAAGAGACATATACCAAGAAGTTTACTATAACACTGTGCTTTATAGGGAAGAATTGACAACAACCTAAAAATTATCAGTAGGCAAATTTGCAAACACAGATAAACACATTCTAGCATAACAACATGGCTAAATCTTGAAACCATAATACTGAATGGAAAAATTAAAAGCAAATTACTAAAGAACACACACACACACACACACACACACACACACACAGTCAAAATAGGAAACAGGAATACTACACACAACTTCAAGATAGTGGTTACCTCTGGGGAGAAAAGAAAAGAGAAGAAATGAGAGAGAGATTGGCTTTAACTGTATCAGTAACATTTTGGGGGATCTTTTTTGCTTGTTTGTTTAAAGCATCAGAAGCTGTTTTATCATTTTGTAAATATCTCAAGCTATATAAAACTTATATTATTTCCCACATCCAAAATCTGCTCTTCCCTCCTGTGTTCTCTAACTTGGGGTAGAGAATGTATGCGTGTGGGAGGCGGGGTGGCATTACAAATTAATCTAGTCACCCAAATTAGAAATCTGGGATTCAACTTTGACTCTTCTTTTTCTCTTAACCCCATTCCAATAGTCAGAACTAATAAGTTACCATGTTTTATCAAGATGATTTCCTAAATTTAAAGTGCTTAGAACAATACCCAGTTCTCAATAGATGTTAGTTATCATTGCCATCATCAACATCACCACCACCACCATCACTATCATTAAATCTCTTTTCACATTCATTTGCCCTTTTCAAGTCCCATACTACAGTCTTATTTTGGGCATTCTGTGTCCAACTCAACACTGCGTCAGTTTCTAGCTCTTTCAATCACATATCTCTTTAAGAATCTGAAAAAAGCCACAGATTTCTTCCCAAGAATATACACATGGACACAAAATTTTGTATATAATCTTAGGGGAACTTCAAGAAGCCAGCCATGGACTCCCAGGGTAAAACCCTTTCTCTAAACTATCCATGCTCATTTCTGTCTTTCACAACATTATTATAGTAAATTCAAAATCTTTTGAGGACCTGGGAGGTGGGGGTGGGGGTTGAGCAGAGGGTAAGCACAAGACCGACTTCCTTAGTTTAGAATTCAAACATCCTTCAGACCTGTGCTCTCCCCACCCCTATACTTTATGCTCTAGCTATACAAACACAACTTCTACTTTCCCAAAAAACTCCTTAAAGAGTTTTCCATCTGTGTTGAGGTAATAGATGCAATTCCCTCCACATGGAATATGAATCAGTCCTTCATTTCCTAAGAAATACCTGTTCTACCTTTGAGGCTCAGCTCATATATTAGCTCCTCTACGAGGTCCTTTCAAATCACCAAGCATAGTGCTCCTTTGGCATTTTTTACACTTTCAACCCCCATTGGAAATTACCTTCTAAAGGGTTACCTTCCACACTTGCTTACAATGCTTAATCCAACTCCAGTTTCCCGTCCTTGTCATAAATTTTGTACAACTCATCTTTCTGGAAATGCTGCCTTTGGTATCACACTTCAGAACATTCTGGATATAGTAAGTGGGGCCAGCAGTTTCATTTTAAAAAGGACTGAGTCCCAAGGACGGAACATTCCATTGCAATTACACAAGGCAGTTTTCTCCACTAGCTTTAAAAAACAATATTGTTTTCTGGTTAAAGGCGTAATTCATGTTCAACTATATGCAAATACTAAAAAATGGAAATAAAAATCACTCATAAAACCGCCATCCAGAGGTGTATATTTAGTGTTAAATAAAAACAATTAAATATATAAAAGTATATAACGTCAACCCACGATTGTGCTACATACAGTTTAGTATTCTGCTTTATTCGCTTTACATTATATCGAGTGTTTTCTTATGTTTTTAAATAATACTTAAAAATGTCATTTTTAAAGACTGCAAAATACCACATTTCATAATTTAATCATTTCTGACTATTGATTATTCAATTGTTTAGAATTTTTAATATTACAAGTAATGCTGCAATGGAAGAGACAAGTACCAAACTATTATCTTTCTGATGGTTTCCTCAAGATAAATTCACAGAATAAAGTATGCTACAGCACTGAGTAAATGTAGAAGAATATTAGAAGTGTCTTGTACACCATGTTAAGAAATTAAAACTTCATCAGCTGCTTGATATCATTATTTATGATCCCCTCACCATCAACTCAGTCCACAAGGGATATGGACGTTTTAAAGGCTTTCAATTCATAAGGCGATTTGCTTCTCAGAAAATTGAAAATCTTAAAAGTGAAAACCAAATTTTAGGAGCAATGACTATTTTAGTGATATATATATATAATATATATATATATGAAGTTTAGCAATGTCTTAAGCGCTACATAAAACTGCAAGAATTTACTTACAGATGTCCATTAAATTCTTCTGAAGGTTTTCTCCAAATTGTTACATCTTTCTAAAAAAATAAAAACGGTATATGGTGATAATTACATAGGTGGAATCCTGGATATAAAACTGACAATTTCATAAGTCTAGAGCATTAGTCTTTGCATTAAAATAAAACTTAAGTAAATATTCAAAGAGATACATAAAAGTCATTTATATCATCAAATGATGCATATTTGAATTTCTTCTGTATCCTAAAATTCTTCACATTTTACTTAAATTATAGACATCCGAAAAAGATTTTTCATTAGTTTAATGAGACCCAAACACGCTTAAGATTCAGTCATAGCACTATCTCATTGGCCATTATTATTTGCCTCATTCCAGTCTTACCTACTTACCATTACTGACACATTTAGACTAAGATATTAAGAATGCTAAATATTTCATTCTGAACTTGCTCTTATCTTCTTTTAAAATTAAACAATTCACACCTATTATGATAGTGTTATCTTTAATTAGTCCCTACATTTTTGCTGATCATCTCCCAAGAAATTTTGAATACCACAATAGCTAGAGCACTTAACTGGAAGTGTCCTGGGTTCTAAGGTTGGCTCTGTCAACACTCAGCCATGCGATAGTTTGGGCAGGTCATATTGGTAAAAAAGAATACTAACTGGCCACCCTCAGAGGCTTGCTGAAATATCTGAAACTATTCCAAACCATCAATTACAATACTTCCTTAAATTGACAATGATGCATTTTATTTGTTGACTTAAGAGGCTGTTCTTTAGGCTCTTATTGCCATGAGTCTACTCTCATGTCCAATATCTAAAGAACTAAAACGCAGTGCAGGATTACTGTGTTTCTCTCTTGTGAGATGTTAAGCCACTGGCTTTATTAGCATAATTATCTCTCCCACACATCCATCTAAAGTATGATCCATATTTTTCCATACCATTTTGAAAGTCATCAATCAACTCATTAGACAGAAAATATACCCCAAATATAAGTAATTTAACTAATTTACCGTTTTCTTAACAACTCTCCATTTATCATCTTCAATGCTATGGTACTGGATGAGAGTCTTTTTAAGTTCAGTTGCAAAAGCAGCAACATCAGGCAGACCTTCCATTTTTTTTCCTGTTACAGAAACCAAGATTAGCATCAGCAAATACCAGTTTGATGCAACAGACCAGTGGGTCTCAAGTCTGGTTTCATAATAGAACCACCTGGGGAGCTGTAAAAGCTACCTATACCTGGACCCACCCCAAATCAACTAATCCAAATCTCTGGGAGTAGGACTTGGGCATAGGTGTTTTTCTAAAAGCTCCCAAGGTGAGTAATACATAGTTATGGATGAGAATCACACATTTTGAGTTCTTAAAATCACTCATATAAAAAATAAAATTCAATCCTATTTTACGTAATAGAATCTAATAAAAAGGACTAAATTATAAAATTCCAGATACATTAAAGAAAAAAAGTGCTGTTTTCAAAATACAAAAATAACATACAAGGCACAAACTCTTTAAAAAGTCCTTAGAGCTTCAGCTTTCACCATCCTACAGATTTAGGACTCATTCTAGCAAATGAATAACAACCACAACTGGAAACCTCGTCTTACATCCTTTAAGGCTAGAGCTATAGAACTCTGAACAATTCCAAATGTTTGCAGAACTCTACTGTTTTCAATATTTTATTTCATTTATTGAAGTCTATAGGAATCAGTGAGGTATCTGTATAAGGAAGGAGGTCATAGGAAGACTTTTAGAACCACCAGTACAACATAAATAAATGGTTTATAATTTTCAGGCAATAATTTTAACTATACAAAGAAGAAAAGTACTATATCATTAATAATTTCAAATGATACTGCTCCACAATATTTTTAAAGGGAAATGATTACCAACCTTGAAAGATAATAAACTTACTATAACGAGGATTCTGTAATGTGATGGTTTTAAAACAAAACATTGCTGCAAATTCTTTGACACATTTCCCATCAAAAGGTGGAGTTTGTGACTGCATGATTTCCAAGGCTAGGTTGGAAAAGTCCATGCAGCTTCTGCAGGTTTCTTTTAGAATAATCGATCTAGGAGCTTCTGATCAACATGCAAGAAATCTAGCTATCCTGAGGCTGACAGATGGAAAGACATAGGGGGAGAGAGAGAGAGACAGGGAGAGAGACACTGGTTCAAAGTCCCAGATCCAGAAGCCTACTTAGAGCTTCATGCCTAATGGGCATCTCTTGCTTCTCCCTTGATTTGCCTCAATCTTCCTCATCTTAACAATTTTACTATTAAAACAGTAATTGAGCCAGTTGCTCAAGGTCAAAAGCCTTGGAATCACCCTTAATATGAATTACAGTCATGCACCATGATGTTTTGGTCAATAACAGACTGCATATACGTCAGTGGTCCTGTAAGATTATAAGGGAGCTGAAAAAATCCTATTGCCTAGATTGTAACATTGTAGTGCAACACGTTGTTTGTGGTGATGCTGGTGTAAACAAACCTTCAGGTCCTTCAGGAGGTATTCCAGAAGAAGGCAGTGTTACCATAGGAGATGACATCTCCATGCATGTTATTGCCTCTGAAGATGTTCCAGTGGGACAAGATGTGGAGGTAGAAGACAGTGTTACTGATGATCCTGACTCTGTGTAGGCCTAGGCTAATGTGTGTGTGTCTTAGTTTTTAACCAAAAAGTTTAAAAATTTAAAAAAATAAAAAATTTAAAAAATAGAAAAAGCTTATAGAATAAGGATATAAAGAAAGAAAATATTTTTGTACAGCTGTAAAATATGTTTGTGTTTTAAGCTATTACAAAAGAGCCAAAGTTTAAAAAAAATCATAAAGTTTATAAAGCAAAAAAGTTACAGTAAGCCAAGGTTAGTTTATTATTGAAAAAAGAAAAATTTTTTTATAAAGTTAGTGTAGCCTAAATGTACAGTGTTTATAGTCTACAGCAGCGTACAGTAGCATCCTAGGCCTTCACGTTCACTCACGACCCACTCACTAACTCACCCAGAGCAACTTCCAGTCGTGTAAGCTCCATTCCATGGTATGTGCCCTATACAGGTGCACTATTTTTTATCTTTTATACCATATTTTTACTGTACCTTTTCTATGTTTATGTATGTTTAGATAAACAAATACTTACCATTGTGGTACAACTGCCTACAGTATTCAGTACAGTAACATGCTGTACAGGTTTGCAGCCTAGGAGCAATAGGCTACACCATATAGCCTAGGTGTGTAGTAGGCTATACCATCTAGGTTTGTGTAAGTACACTCTATGATGTTCGCACAGTGATGAAATCGCCCAACAACGCATTTCTCAGAAGGCATCCCCATCATTAAGTTACGTATGACTGTCAGAGTCCTATTCATACTACCACACCCCACTGCCTACAATGTTCTTGTCCTACTGGTTTTCTTTCTGTCCCTCAAATAGGCCAAGCTTGTCACTGACTTTGGGCCTTTGTACTTGCTATTTCTCTGCCTGGATTACCAGGTCCCAAAGCTGAGCATGACTAATAACAATATATAATGACAATTTCAGTTTAAACCTCCTGTCCTTAATATGTCCCTCTGCAAGTCACTAGTATATCCTTCTTTTATTTTCTTCATAGTGCTATCATTATCTGAAATTAATTTGTTCATTCATCAATGTACTGTATTCTACTCTCTGACCATCACATCCCCAGCTAATAGAGCAGGGGCCCTTGTCTGCCTTATTCACCACTATATCCCCACCAATGAGAACACTGCCTGGAACACAATAGGCCCTTAATATTTGTTGAAGTGTGTTTGCTTCAAAACAAGAATTATTTGGTCTTAACTTTGTCTTCTTTTGGTGCCATGGTGCTCTCTAGTAAAAGGCTAGAGGACAAAAGGGTTTTGGGGAAAAGCTGCCAGTTTACAGAATCATCAAGTTACTAACAAAAAGGGGATCAAGAAAAGATCTAAATGAAATATCAAGCCTCAAACCTCTGCGGGAAGAAGGCTATAATTCTCAATTACAGGTGCATCATCAGAATCTCCTGTGTTATATTTTGTAGTAGTTGTTGCTGTGGACAAAGACTCCTTATCAGGCCTCTCTGAGTCCTCTTTTTGACGAGGCCTAGGTCTTGGGCTTGTCCTGGCCCCCTTAGTCCAGTTTTAGAAAGAATCCTGCTGGGTCAGTTTAGTGAAAACCCCCCATCTCAAAAATTCCTCATTCCCCACCTTGATCTTCTCACTCTGGCCTGTCCTCAGCAAGAATCCTACTAAGTCAATTAAGCCAGAATCCCCCTTACCTCTAATGTCTCCTTTTAGTAATTTTCTGTCTACTGACACCTATCCTGCTCCTTGGCAAGAAATCCCCACTTGTCCTTATTGTATTCAGAATGGAGCCCAGTTCTATACTGAGGTTTCTTTTCCTCTATCGCAACAGTTCTTGAATTAGATTTGCCTTTATCACTTTAACTTCTGTCTGCCTCTGGTTTTTTTGTTTTGCTTTCTTTTGTTTTTGGTGAGGAAGATCAGCCCTGTGCTAACATCTGCCAATCCTCCTCTTTTTTTGCTGAGGAAGACTGGCCCTGGGCTAACATCCGTGCCCATCTTCCTCCACTTTATATGGGACGCCGCCACAGCATGGCTTGCCAAGCAGTGCATCGGTGCACGCCTGGGATCTGAACCGGCGAACCCCTAGGCCGCCGCAGCGGAGCACGCGCACGTAACCGCTTGTGCCACCAGGCCAGTCCATGCCTCTGGTTTTTTTGTGACCCTGTTTTTACATGTTAGATTTCAGGCCCCCGCCAGATAGCCCGATTCAGTGGGTCTGTTCTAGGGTAGGCGCCAGAAATCTAGGTCCTTTAGAAGGGCTCACCGATCATTCTGTTATCCAGCCAGGGTTGAAAACCACTGACCTAAAAACTAAAGGTGACAGAAATAAATCAATGTTTTAGTCAATATTTAAATAGCACAAAGCAGAGCATACAAGTCATTAAAAATGATAAACACCATGCCGGTGGGAGTGCAAACTGGTGCAGCCACTATGGAAAACAATATGGAGATTTCTCAAAATATTAAGGATAAAACTACCGTACGATCCAGCTACTCCACTGCTGGGTGTTTATTAAAGAACATGAAAACACCAGTGCATAAAGGTACATGCATCCCTGTGTTCATTGCAGCATTATTCACAGTAGCCAAGACTTGGAAGCAACCTAGGTGCCCATCAAGGGACGAATGGATAAAGAAGATGTGGTATATATACACAATGGAATACTACTTGGCCATAAGAAATGATGAAATCCAGCCATTTGTAACAACATGGATGGACATTGAGGGTATTATGCTAAGCAAAATAGGTCAGAGGGAGAAGGTCAAATACCGTATGATCTCACTCATAAGTAGAAGATAAAAACAACAACAAATAAACACATAGAGACAGAGATGGGATTGGTGGTTACCAGAGGGGAAAGGGGGAGGGAGGAGGGCGAAAGGGATGATTAGGCACATGTGTATGATGATGGATTGTAATTAGTATTCGGGTGGTGAACATGATGCAATCTATGCAAAAATAGAAGTATAATGATGTACACCTGAAATTTATACAATGTTATAAACCAATGTTACCACAATAAAAAAAAATTCTAAAGAAAATATTACCAACATCAATCAACAATATAAGGGAAAAAAATGATAAATACTAAAAGGATATAGAACTGTAGGAAAGGAAAAAATCTTTTCCTCTACTCTCTTATGTTATGTCACTGGAACCTGTGAATTAAACTGACAAAAGATAGATTAACAGGAGAAAAGGCACACAAATTTTATTTTATGCTATTATTTTAAGTTTTACATGCACAGAAGCCTTCTTAGAAAAGAAGTGGAGACCCAAAGAAGCAGTTAGACCCAGGGCCCTATATACCATTTTAACAAAGGGTGATAAATTGTGGAGAAGTGACAAGACAAAGGAAAAGGGGTTTGGGCTTCTAGGAGTGGTAAATTATGGGAAGGTAAATGTATACAAGGAAACTCACAGAAGATAAGTGTTATTTTAGTAAAGCTTGTGCATACCATTTGGGTGCCAACTTTTGGTCTCCAGAGATAAGAGTTGTTCTCCTCTTGGTATAGGAGAGGGAAGACATTCACAGAGGGAAATTTATGTCCTACTTTTACGTAG